GGCCGATGGGAAATTTGGCCAGGACGCCGGGGTACACCCCTACTCTTTTCGAGAAATGCCCTGGGATTTTTAATGACCACAGAGAGTCAGGATCTCAGTTTTATGTCTCATCCGAAGGACGGCGCCTGTTTTGCAGTATAGTGTCCTCGTCACTACACTGGGGCATTAGGACCCACATGAGCCGCAGGTTGAGCACCCCCTGCTGGCCCCACTAACACCTCTTCCAGCAGCAACCTTAGTTTTTCCCTGGAGGTCTCCCAACCAGGTACTGACCAGGCTCACACCTGCTGAGCTTCAGTGGTATGGCTGCTGGCTTTAGTAAGCAAATAACATTTGTCTCTATATAATAATCAGTGACGTCTCCAGGTGCTCACAAAACAGTTATTACATTTCTTAATGTGTTCTAACAGCACAGATTGTACTAAACAGTGTTTATATAAACTAACACGTAGTAGGAACACCTTCAGCGACATGTGCATGCAGAGGTGTACTTTTAGACATCCAGCCTCACCTTGCTAGAGTCTTTCTTCCATTCTTTGGGGAAATACTTGGTCAGCTTTTGCTCCAAGTCCATGAATACAAGTTCATTGTCTGAAAGAAAATGGTACAAAAGAAGCATTAAGATCATGTAATCATGTCTGAAATGATGTACAAAGATTTTAGAATTAACGCGCTGAGTTTGTCCTATGCATTATTTCTCGGCTACTTACAGCCTCTATGCCTAAACACATTGCTTCCAAAACACTATTTTCTCACTCCAATTTACCAAGAAACACCTTTTACCAAAGGAAGGACTGAAAGCAAGTTTTGGCAACAATTGCAAAAGACTTTTAAACTTTAGGTAAAAAATACAGCTGGTTTTAAAATGTGGAAAAGCTAGGAATATTTTCTTTAATAAATGTCCTTTGTCTGTAACCCTGTGCTGCCTCGTTCAGAGATGGCAGTTCCAAATCCAGCACAATAAACACACACAGAGCCTCAGTGAACTTAGTCACTGCATGCTTCACAGCTTACAGTCCAATTTCCAGAAACAATCTTTGAAGGAGAAACAACTTTTCTTTTCAAAGGGCAATAATAAAAAGGAAGATTGATTTGCAAATAATCTCGCTGTCAGTCAGAGGTACATGATGAATGTGTCCAGAAGCAATTTGCACCCCCTCACAATCTTCATCTCCCCTCTGAGGAGGAATGCTGAACTACATTCCAGCCTTAATGAAATTAATATTGCTGGAATCCTGGGTAATAGTGAAACACTCCATCCTGCAAAAACAAAAGGGCTCTTGTTGAGAAGGTAAGCTTCACAGGATTAGCCGAAAACAAAGGCAAAGACAAACTTTGCAGCTGTTTATCAAAAGATTAGGTATCTCAGTTATGCTGGAAACATTCATTTATTCAAACAAATGGCTTTGATTTTGGCAGGAAACCCTCATATTGATATTTCTTATGTAGATGGAGCACAGCACTTCAAGGACAGGCCTAGACCAAGAGATTGGTCCTGGTGTCAGCCAGTACGGTTTAATGACTCAACAGGAGAACTGGCAGGGAGCTTTGAAGTTTATAGACTGCTCTTGCCAGATGTCTGAAGCCGAGTTCACCGCTGGAATCATATCTTTACACTGTGACAGT